ATAATTAAGAATGAATAGATGATAGCCAAATTTAGTACATCTGGCCATTATTTCTTAAAACATACATATAAAGAGACTTTCTAGTGATTCTGTTTAAATTAAAATTGACACTCTTTGAAACTTCTGTTGCTATGGTAAAGAAAATATTCAAAAACGTAACAAAATGATTGCATAATTATATAGTGAAAAGTTAAAATGAGCACATTACCTTGAAAACAAAAATATATGCACAGTACAAAGCTTCTCCTATTAGGTACTATTTTTACCTAAATTAATGTATACAATTAACTTATAAAATATACTACGACATAACTTTGACAATTATAAATACGAGGGACCAAAAAAAATTAACAGAGATACATTAACCAGAAGCAAAATCTAATTGTTGCATATGGTATGATAAAAGCTGTGGTTTGGTGAAATATGTCAATAAAATTAATTTAAATTGCAGAAAATTTGGAGTACCAAAGTTATCCTAACACTTGCTACTGTGAATGTGTCCTATTTCAAAACATCAACCTTTCTTTAAATTTGCTATTTTACTAAGCATGTTGAGTAGGTTGAACTTCTCCAAAGATGATTTTGGAGCATGTAATCACTCTAAATTACAGTGCAAAAAGTCGAAAAGTTTTGTATACTCTACTGACCAAAACAACATAATTGAAAGTGAATTATAATGGTCATAATCTATAGAACTTTAGCAAACATATACCAGACAGCTTTGACACCTTCAGATGTATTCAATCCCTCATCTGAAATCTCCAGCCTGCTGTCCTTGGTCTTTACTATGACTTCTCCCCATTCTCGCAATGAAATGCAAATGAAACAGATCCACCACAAACTCTTCCCCATAGTCCCATTCAGCTTTTCATCTTGAAGGTACATGATAATGCACCGTCATTTATTATCCACGGATACTGCTTATGTCTCCTGGTATAAAGTGGTGCAGGGATTACATTGTCCATATTTGTGACTACCCCAACCACTGCAAAACATCACCTAAGAATTTGTTCTTGGCTTCCCTTTCCTTCAAGATTTAAAGGCATTAAATCAGTGAAATCTGTATTCATTCCTACCATGGATTTATCAACTCATTGGAAAATAGTCATGTTTAAATATTAAAAAAAATAGTTTCTGTAAAATTCAATCATCTTAATTTTATTCCTTTCATTGTGATACTCACATCACTGTTTTTTTTTTTTTTTTTTTAATTTCCAAGTAAGAATTTCTACACACTTAAACGTTACGTTGGATTTCCATGTTAATGACCTACAGAACTAGATTTATTTACCACTATGAATGTAATCCACAGCCTTAATCTTTAAGATTTTTAACAGTTGTTACAAACCCAGCTCGAGGATCTAAAGACAAGTCCCTGGGAAACTTCAGCCTTTTGCTAACGAGTATAGTAGGGTACAAGCCATTGAGTTTGGATACTTCAATGATCCTTTTTTCTGTGTCAGACCAATAGAGGTTTTTTCCAATCCAATCGACAGCAAGTGCATTGGGGACCGCTGTGTTATGAACTACCTACAAAACAAGAATTTAAAAAGTTAACAGCGTAAATCCCTAGCATAAGAAGTGAGCAATTGCTTCTTGACTTTTACAGAGATATAGGATTCCATTTAAACATAAGGAATGGAACTTAGATAAGAAGAGAACCATTGACCGCAATGCAATTACTTACTTGTTTGTGAGAAATTACCTAATGTGTAATTAGGTCCCTATAAATTACATATAGGTTTAAACAAAATAATTTTAAAAAGTTGTTGGAGAGTTGCACATTTGTTGTTCACATTTTTGTTAAAGTGTAATCTATTCATCCTCTTAAAATTTGGAATAAAATTCTCACACACATACACACACACACACACACACAAACAAAAAAAAAAAAAAACAAAAACAAAACCCACACACACACTTAGAGACATTATTTTCCTTTAACCAGTTTGGGAGAGATAGCAGTAGCATTCATCACTCTCCCT